ATATAAATAAATATATAAACTGGAGATCATATAAATTTGGTATACTACAAAAGAAAAAAAATATCATATATATTGAAGAGAGTGCTTGAATATCGTAGTTAGCCTTGTTATTTAAAAGAGTAATATGAGAAAAAAATGTTGGAAGAGAAAAGAAGAAATCTATTTACGGTAGAGAGATTGTTCCACGAAAAGAATAGGAGAAGTAGAATAAAAGCACTACAAAATTAAAAATTAAAAAAGAAGAAGAAAGGGATGGTAAAACAAAAAAAATTAAAGAAAAATGTTAAATTAATGAGGGGTAATTTAAAAAATATAAATTTATAGTAAGAATATTTTTGTCTTGGAAAAAATTAATTGTTTCCTTCTGCTTCTGCTATATGGAAGAAGCTAGAATATTGTAGCTTCTTCCTAAAAGCAGAAAAACTGCTTCTGTTGCTGCTTGAAAGCACTTCTATGTCTTGGTCAAACACCTCAAATTTCTAAATAAATATTTTTTTGACAAAAAAATTTTAACCTCCTAGAAGCTTGGCCAAATAGGCTCGTTATTATTATAATATAATTATCACGTCCCAAAATCTCACCTTAGGCCGTGATGGCGCCTATCCGTACTTGCTAAGCAAGTCAATTCATAATTCAAAAATATATAGCCAGATTTCTTTAAATATAGAGTCATATTATAAATAAAGACAGAAATAGTTCCAAAATAGTAAACATATCTGATACATTCATGACAAGGCCTAAACACGGCCAATAAAGTATAACCCCCAAGACTAGGCGGCACAGGTACACAAGCAACTACGGAATAAATACAAGTCTGAATACATGAATAAAGTTATCTGAAATAGTAAAATAGACAAAGAATGGAAAAAGGACAGGGACTCAAAAACTGCGAAATGAATCCATTGAGTGTAGCTCACCCTAAGTCTCCGTGCAACGCCTATGCACAATCAAGAGGCTCCACTAGGACCCAGCTGAGGATCTGTAAAAAAAGATATGCAGAAGCGTAATATGAGTACACCATAATCGGTACCCAGTTAGTATCAAGTTTAACCTCGAAGAAGTAGTAGCAAGGCTATAGGCATCAAGATACTTACAACAAAGATATAAATAACAAAGCTTAGAGCTGAAACAGTAAATAATCTCATGAATAACAAGAATAAAAAATATGAACAGTCGAAAGGTATAAAGAATGCTTTTTCAAGTCAACAAATAATCATAATGCTGCTCAAATATAACATTTAAAGAACACATGCTACAATCAACGGAGTCGAGACTCCAGGCTAGCATATATAGATGTCATGTAATAATTAGCATCTAAATGAATGCTCCTAAATGATTTAAGAATATCTATAAGTAATGACTCGACCGGTCGTTTTGTATATTACAGCTTCGTTTCCCTATTTATTGCCTCTTCTATGTTCATTTGTGGTTATGTGACTTGCCGGGGTAGTTGGATTGGTTTCGAAAAAGTTTCGGGGTGAATTGGGACATTTAATCCTAAAGTTGGAAGTTTAAGTTGAAAGAGATGACCAGAGTTTAACATGTGAGTAGACGACTCCGGAATAAAGTTTTGATGGTTTCAATAGCTTTGTATGGTGATTTTTGACTTAGGCGTATGTCTGAACGTTGATTCGGAGGTCCGTAGGTTGATTTGGTATTTTTTTGGCGAAAGTTAGAAAGTTGAAGGCTTGGAAGGTTTACAGGTTTGACCGAGGGTTGACTTTATTGATATCGGGCTCGGACTGTAATTTCGGGAGTTGGTATAGGTCCGTTGTATCATTTCGGACTATCATGCAAAATTTGAGGTCATTCATAGTTGCTTAGGCTTGTTCGCAGTTAGTTTTGAATTTGGAAATGTTCATTGGTTCATTAGGCATGAATTGGGGTGCGATTCAGAGTTTTGATATTGTTTGATGTGATTTAAGGCCTCGAGTAGGTTTGTGTTATGTTTTTAGATTGGTTGGTGTGATTGAACAGGGTCTCGGGGGTCTCGGGTGTGTTTCGGATGGGTTTCAGACCATTTCTCTAAGTTTTGGATTGCTGTCAGCTGATGTCTAGTTTCCTTATTTACGATCACGTAGAGGAAGTCGTGATCGCGTAGCTCTATTTGGTGGCAGGTGAGATTTGTACATCGTGTTCGCGAATATAGGGACGTGTTCACAGAGCTTGAGGGAGGTTGTTCATCGCGAACGCAAGGGGGAAGCCACGTTCGCGTAGAAGGTAAGTGAGGCTGAGGGGTGGCACGCATTTGTTCATCGCGGTTGCGAGGGCTGGACTGCAATCATGTAGCTCTGAGTGGATGGTCATCATGATCGTGACTGGAGTGTCTCGTTCGCATAAGAGGTTCTGGCAGCTGGGCAATTTTGTTCTTCACGATCACAACTCTATTTCCGCGATCGCAATGCATAACACCTGGGCAGACTATATAGTACTCTATTTCGAGGTTTTGGTTCATTTTAACATATTTTGAGTTGTAGGTTTTAGGCAATTTTGGAGGGAATTTTCACGATTTAGATCGGGGTAAGTATTTTTAACTCGGATTTGTCCATTATTCATGATTCCATCTTTGTTTTTATCATTTAATTAGTGATTTGAATTGGAGAAATTGGGGGATTTTGTAAAAACTTTCCTAAAGTATAAAATGAGGATTTGAAGGTCGATTTAAAGTCGGAATTGGATAATTTTGGTATGGTTGAACTCATATCGAAATGGTATTCGGATTTTGTGAGTTTGGTCGAGTTTCGAGGTGGGGTCCCGGGGTAGACTTTTAGAGTAGACTTCTTGATTTTTGTTAAAGATTGAATCTTTATTATCCGAAATTGTTTTCTACGACTTTTATTTATGATATTAAGTTATCTTGGCTAGATTCGAACTGTCCAGAATTGGATTTGTATGGGAAGGGCTTATTCGTGTATTGATTTAACTTATTTGAGGTAAGTATCTTGTCTAACTTTGTGTGAGAAAAACTACCTCTTAGGATTTTGGGTTGTTTGTACTATTTGAATGAGCACCAACGGCCATTGTAGCACAACAAAACTAAATGGAAAAGGGGCCTCCACATCTATAGGAGAAGGGACACCAACGGCCATGAAAAAGCTCCTCGAAGCATGGTTGACTGATACATTAGTAAGTGTGCTCAATAAACCTGCTCCATGCACGACCATAGAGACCATAAGAACCCACACGGTGCAATGAGCAGACGAACAAGGCGACCAACCAGACCCTCCAACACCAGGTATAACTCACAATGTTACTAACAATCCAGGTGATAGCGTCCTCGCCGCTGTTCTGATGAGGATGGAAGAAATGGAGAATGAATACAAAACGTTCCGAGATCAAATGAAAGAACACAAAGAACGAGTCGACAAGATAGCGAGAAAGCAGTCCTATATGCCAGACCAAAGACCTTTAAAATGCCATTGTATCTCAGGATATATGATAGAACGACCGACTCCAAAGATCACATGACTCATTACATCACCGCCGTGAAGGACAACGACCTCACCAAGGAACAAGTATCCTCTATTTTGCTGAAGAAATTTGGAGAAACCCTCACAGGAGGGGAATTAACATGGTATTCACAGCTACCAGTCAGTTCCATAGAAACCTTCGAAGAAATGGCCGATAAGTTCATGACGGCGCATGTTGGGGCCAAGAAAGCCGAAACATGAGTAAACGACATCTTCGCCATCAAGCAGTCCTTAGGAGAGGGAATTCCTCGCTCGATTCAACAAGGTAAGGATGACCCTACCAAATGTGTCCAAAGGGATGGCAGTCGTAGCCTTTTAGAATGGGTTGAGTAGAGAGGGTTCAAGAGCGACCAGAAAATTGCTGAGTCGGTTAATGAAGTACCCCCAACCACTTAGGATGAAATCCAGAATGCTTACTGTGCCGAAGTCCGAGCAGATGATGATGACCTCAATGGACCGACTCGACGGCTCGTCTCGGTACAAGGCGAGCCCTAGAAAGAATAAAGAGATAACATAAAGAGTGATCACCCGGTCTCACGACCAAAAAAGGAACGGCATCAGCCATAGTTAGCTAAAAACTCCGCCACAACATTGCCCTCCCTAAGGACATAGTGGAAGATCACATTAAACTGATCCCTCATCTCCTTAATCCTCTTCACTTCTGCCATAATTCACTAAGGAGGATCCCATTCTCCTTATATGATCCTCTTCATGACTAAGGAATCAGTTTTAATTATGAGAGGATGCAACTCCTTTTCCACACAATATGCCACTCATTTGACTATGGCCCTTACCTCCGCTACAATATTGGTTGTCTCATCTATAGTTTATGCCCTTGCATACACCAAATCTCCAACACTGTCTCAAACACAAAAGCCAAATAAGCTTGGCCCTGGATTGCCCCTTAAAGCTCCATCAGTGTTACACTTGTACAATCCCACATGAGGCACTTTCCAGTTTACTCTTCTTGTCAAAAGAACAGGCTTATATCCTTCAAAAACCTTGATCATGTCCGGCCACAAGAAAGGGATATGAGGAAGCCAAGGATATGTCACTTTTGCCAAGTAGTGAAGTGTATTATTGACTTCATGAATCACTGTATTACATGATACTGCTCTACCATTTCTAAATTCATTTCTCCTCTTCTACAACTCCCAAGTGATAATGGCTGGAACTGCCTGATATAAGGGTTTTAGTTTTGGACAACATTAAGCATTCCACCAAGATCTAATGACTTGATGAACCTGTACCAGCTATACATTAATCCCCGTTGCACCAAAGAACACCTTCCAAACCCTAGAGGCAGTATAACTAGTAAAAAATAAGTGATCAAAAGACTCATCTTGTGGTTGTTGACAACACTAACACCTTGATACATACAAGTAGCCAATCCTTCTCTACCAATCATCGGTAGGCAATTTAAATATCCATAATTTCCATAAAAAGAAAGATATCTTGAATGGAAAATCACATGTGTTTTGAGTTCTGGATTAGGATTTGCCCTATGTCTTAATATTTTCCAAGCACTACTCACAGAAAACTTTCCTGAGGCAGTTGGCATCCACCATGGCTTTTCCCAGCAATGTGCCTACTATGATCAACTATCTCCTTAGGAAATGTTTGCTCTAACAATTGCTCATTCCACCATTCACCTTGTCTCCAATCTGCCACCTCTTGGATGTCTTGATTAATAGGAAAATCTGGAGGTACTACATGATACAAGAACCCAAGTTTGGTCCAATTTTTATGCCACACATTGGTAGAACCTCTTTGCATCTCCCACCATACTTCATGCTCCACATCCTGCCTTGTATTCAGCATTTTCCTCCAAATATGTGACCCTCCTCTATATTGCACCACAGTTGGTATCTTTTTCTTGTAGTACTTATTCCACATACAATATGACCACAATAATTTTATGGTCCTAAATCTCCACCATAGCTTAGCAAATAGTGCCTTAGATACATCCACAAAATACCTAAACCCTAATCCACCTTCTTCTTTGAGAAGACACAAGTTGTGCCATGAAGACCAATTCCTACTCCTGCCTTCTTCCTTTGCGCTCCAAAATAACCATACAAAGAGCTTATGTAGATGTTCTAGAATATTGTTAGGTGGATCAAGAACTGACAACAAGTGTACTGACATGCTTTGTAACACACTAGTAATAAGTGTAGCCTTGCCTCCATATGATAATAACTTGCCTTTCCATGAATGCATTTTTGCCTTTAATTTCTTGATACGATCTTCATAATAATCCTTCCTTCTTCTAGTGTAGAAGATAAGACATCCCAAGTAAGTAAATGAGAATTTACCTTTAGAGAATCTTGTGACATCACCTACTGCTTGAAACAAAGCATTAGCTACATTAGCATGCATATAGTAGGAACTCCTGGACTTGTTGATAAGATGGCATGAGATCTTCTCATAACTGCCCAAGACTGCGATCACCTTCTTCAAAGAATTCGGATGAGATGAGGCAAAGATGATGGTATCATCTGTATATGCTAGATTATTCAAAGGATCAGTCTACTTAGGCATCACAAATCAAACAAAAGACTTATCCTCAAACAACTTGTTCAAGGACCTAGATAACACCTTTGCATATAGTATGAACAAGGCAAGAGAGTATGGATATCCTTGTTTAACACCCCTTGTATATTTGAAAAAGCATGAAGATTGCCATTCACCAAGACTGAATACCAATTATTTAACAGAAGGTTCCACACCATGTTAATAAAATGCTCAGCAAATCCGATCTTCCTTAGCACATGAAATAAATATTTCCATGAAACCCTATCATATGCCTTGGCCATGTCTAATTTAATCACCACATTAGCAGGCGTACCCCTTAGCCTTATGCCAGTGAAAATCTCTTGTGTGAGAAGTATGTTCTCAAAGATGCCCCTTCCTTTCACAAATCCAAACTAATTAGGTGAAATCAGTGAAGGCAATAACTTCTCAAGTCTATCATGAAACACTCTAGAAATTACCTTGTTGATAAAGTTACTCAAGCTTATAGGTCTCAAGTCTGAAAATATTTGCACCCTTGGCTTCTTTGGCAGTAAAACCAAATTTGGGTGTATGATAGACTTAGGCAAATATGTACCACCATAAAAATATCGCACCATGTTATGTATGTCATAGCAAACGATCTCCCAACACTCTTGATAGAAAGACCTAGTGAATCCATCAAGACCACTAGCCCTATCATCACTAAGTTCAAAAACAGCTCCCTCGACCTCCTCAAGTGTTGAATACCTACAAATCTCCAGATTCTGCTCCATAGTGACCATAGAGGTACACTGTTTAATAAAGAGAAATCAATAGGATCAACCTTTTTAGAGAATTGTCTCTATTAGAAATTCACTACAACATTAGCCATTTGATCATGATCTTCAACCCAATCCCCCTCTTCATTCTGGATCCTCTTCAATTGAAGCTTCCTCCTCTTGCCATTGATATGGTTATGAAAGAAACTAGTGTTTCTATCACCCTCGGCAAACCATGTCATTCCTTCCTTTTGCTTCTAATATTGATCCTCAATGCTCAAATATTTTTTCAATTCTACTTGAGCCTTTTGGAGAACAGTCCTGTTATCAATGGTTGGTTCCTCCTCAAACAACATCTCCTTCACCTTTACAATATCTTCCAGTATTACTAATTACTTGAAGATGTCTCCATATGTGTCTTTGCTCTATTTGGACAGTGCACTCTTCACCTTCTTTAGCTTGTGTTTGAACATGAAAAAAGGATCACCTATAAAGTCAGCATGCCAATTCTGCCTCACCGCCTTTTTGAATGATTCATGCTTGGTCCAGAGGTTCAAAAACTTGAATGGTTTGATATAATTTGTGGCATGTTGTCTATAGCTTAAGAACAAAGGTGCGTGATCAAAGCATGTTCTTATGTTCCACTTCAATTGAATGGAACATATTTTAAAATGGCAAGTTCACAAATATCCTGTCCAATCTTTTGAAAATGCACTCAGGATTAGGTCTACCATTCCACCAAGTGAAAGGACTCCCCTTGAACCCTAGATCAAACAATCCACTATAGTTGACACAAAAGGCAAAGTCCTTATACTCTGGAGGATGTACTGGCAAGCCACCAATATTCTCATCTGCATGAAGAATCATATTAAAGTCTCAACCTACCATCCAAGGAAGCTCCATATTACTTGCAAGGTAATACAAATTATCCCACAACTCTAATCTCTCAAGTGAAGAACACATTGCATACACAAAATTCATCATAACATGGTGTCCAATGTCTTGATGAACTATTTTAATTGCCACCTACTTCTCAGTATCCATCACAAGTTCCCATTCCACTACAACATTAATAAACAACCAAATCTTACCATTAATATTTGACGATGCATCTTCCATGTTTAGTCTTCTCATATACCTCTGAATATGTCTTGAATTCTAAAATGGATCCATCAAAGCAATCACAAAGAATTCATTTTCCCTTTGCATATTGATTACCCTCTAAAAGGCATGTTGAGTTTTCACAGGCCTTATGTTCCAAATCAAAGCTTTGATCATCATTTACATTGTGATACTACCCTCTTGGGAAATATTCTTGTAGATTGAGGTACATATTTAGTCTGACCTTACTTATTATCTTTTTAGCACTTCTACCAGTAGCTCTGGGTGATAGGTCTGCCTCTTTTGCCACTGCCTTGAAGTTCCCTGCAGTTGATTCATCCTCTCCCTCCTCCTCAAGTTGACTTTGTTCTATTACTGCATTCTTAATTTTTATAGGATTCACATAGTGTGTGATAATGTCATGCAGAATTTAGTTGGTGATTTCAATGGCACATTAACTTGAAGTTGCATAGTCTGCCCAGTTGCTAGTGCACAGGCCATTGGAATTGCCTTAATTACACTTGAAGACTTAGGGACAATGGCTTGTTCCATTTGATCATGTGACAACCTGTTAACCTCATTCAACACCATTTCATTCTATTCCTTGCCACCCAGTCCTTCTACATCACCTTAAACTGTAAATCATACACTTTCCCTAAGCTAGGGTTCACTGTAGCATTGGATTCAAAAATTACTGTTCCATTAGTTTCATTACCCTTACCATCAACTATTTGGTTCTGGGACCTCACTTTATCATGTAGAATCATTATTGGAGAATTATTAATAGGTCCAACACCTTCTCCATCTCATCACTTAAGCTGTATCTGAAGTACAATTCTGGACAGTGTTCTTAGGGTTCACTGTATCAACGGTTGCAGGGATTACTATTCCATTGAGATCAGGGGTCTTGCCATCAGTTGTTTGTTGGTCTGACCTTACTATATCCCCTAAGACCTCAACATTATCATTAACAATCTAATCACCACCTGAAAACTCCACTGGATCACCTCTAGAAGTAGCAAGAACCTGAACAGTTCCACTAGGGTTTACTGTTCCATTGGTGTTCTTCTTCCCAGATGCATCAACAACTGATCCACCTACGATTATATCTTCCCCTAGTTCTCTTTTCTTAACTCTAATTGGTTGCATAGCCTGCAGTTTCTCTGTTCTTTGAATAATATCAACCCTAGTTTTTTGGAAACTAGGGTTTATTGTAGCACTATCCTCAATAGTGTTGACTTATTTTTTCTGTGTGTTGATCCTTTGGTCTTTGGTTCTAGCATTTGAGTTAGCACCTGACATATCCTTCATAAAATCCACTGCATCATTCCACAAAGCATTTCCATTGTTTGTTACTTCAGTGTGCTCTAATGCCTTTGATGCTTTTTCCATCGTTTGTGATGGTTTAGGAGACCCAAACCTTCTTTGTACCAAATCAGTTGTCCTTTCCTTACTAGCCTCCACCTCAATCTCCATAGAAATAGGATTAGGGTTACCATTCTTTGCCGCTACAGTAATCTCAGCTGTCTTAGGAGTGGAGCTAGAATTTTGAATATTCTCTAGTTTTTTCTTCTCCTGGTCCTTCATGGATTCATTCTCCACTTGTTTCTTCTCTTTCTCTTTAATGTTCACATCTCCTTTGCTATCAATGAGCATAAAAATTGGTTGTTCAATTCTTCAACTTCCAATGCATCAAATTTGTTTCTTGTAGATACTGCCTCTTCATTAATCTTTCCCTTCAATTTGTGAGCCTCTTGTTCCTTTGCATTGTCAATTATATATCCCTTCTTATCCCTTTGGTGCTTGTTTTATCTTTTTGTATCCACACTTGCTTTGTAGAGTTAGCAATAGGTTTCCCAACCACCTTACCACTCGTGAGAACCTTAGTAGTGTTAGCTGCAGTTCCAACAACTTCCTTTCCTTTACTTTGATCTTCAATAGTTTCGTTAAATTTCTTGTGTAACTCAAGATTTATCACCCCAAGAGTCCAGTTCATTATGGCCTTGCTTATTACATGTTTTACAATACTTAGGCATGTAATCATACTTTATCTTGATCCACTTAGATTCCTCAAGCCCAAATTTATCTTCTTCCTCCACAATTTTAATTCTTTGAGAAACTTTGCTAATAAGTTCACATCTACTTTCACTTTGCACAAATAGGTCTCGTACTATTTTGAGAAGCTAAATCAACATTTAATGGTTTTTCTACTGTACTTGCCAAATAAAATACAAATTCCTTACCAAAGAAATTTAGAGGCAATTCTGGAAAACTAATCTAAAGAAATTTGCGGTCATCAAGATTCCACCAAGGATTCCACTTCATACACCTCATTTGCCACATCTCGCCTTGAGCTTTCAAATAAAAAGCAAGATTTGAAAGCAAGTTCACATAATCTTCCATTAGTGACAGCTTGATCAAGACATGATTGTCTTCAATAAGACCAATCGAACAAGCACCCTTGAGTTCACATTGAATAGGAATAGCTTTACGAGTAATCACAGGCTTGTCATTAGAGAATTTTCCAAGCACTGCCAATTGCAAGCCTTGTTGAACGATGGATTGCTTAACTTTTGTCTTCTTCCACTTGATTATAGGCTCACCATGTAGATACTCAACAATTTTGATAGGTATTTTGGCTAAGGTTTGCATGGGCGCATTTAATGCTTTAGGTTGTAATAATTGTGAGTAGTTTTGGAGTGGATTAGGGCTTGTAGATATTGTTTGAGGTTGTGGGGATGATAGGGATGACTTACCAGCCTCACTAGGAGGCTGTCCAATGGTCGGGGAAGCCATGAATGGCCTGCTCGAGCTTCAACTGCTTTTCTTCGCAAATCGCCAGACCCAGGTACATCTGCTCGTGCCGGATATAAGTGATTTGACCAGATACTTTCGAGACTTCAAGGTATACCTGCTTGACGCTCACAAGCCTCGGAGTCACCTTCTTCTATTGCTATACTACTATTTATCCTCATTTAAAATAGAGTTGTATTTATAGATTATTAGCACATTCTCTATAGAGCTTATGACTCAGTTCTACCGATTTTAGGGATTTCGTGATTGTTATTCAGTATTGATGTTATCATGAGATTTGTCAGTTTAATTTAATATCCTTAGTCTTTATTTCTATTAAATTCTCTTATATGTTAGGCTTTCCTAGTCTTAGAGACTAGGTGCCATCACGACATCCTAAGATGAAAATTTGGGGTCATGATAAGTTGGTATCAGAGCTCTAGGTTCATAGGTGTTACCATAAAAAACTTTAGTAGAGTCTTGCAGATCGGTATAGAGACGTGTGTACTTATCTTCGAGAGGCTATAGAACTATTAGAAAAATTATACCTATTTGATTCCTTGTCGTGCGAACTTGTTGATTTCAAAATCTGAGCCTTTGTCTTTCTATTCTCTCACATATGGTGAGGACACGCGCTGCTGGATCAGATGATCAGACACCCGCTCCCCCTGCTAGAGCCGCAAGAGGCCGGGGCCGGGGTAGAGGCGTAAGAGGGGCACGTGCTGCAGCCAGAGCACCTGTCCGAGCAGTGACTGAGGAGCCACCAGTAGCTCCGGTTGGGGGACAGACACTCGAGGCGCCTAGGTTAAATATTGGAGCCTCATGCATTAAAGATGATCACAGGTTAAAAATATTAGAGCGTCCATTAAAATTGAGCAGGGTTAAAAGTAGAGCCCTACGTTAAAAGTAGGTAAGGTTAAAATTGGAGCCCTAGGTAAGGTTAAAATTGGAGCCCTACGTTAAAAGTGAGTAGGGTTAAAAGTGGGAGCTCATGCATTAAAAGTAAGCATGAATTCAAAATTGGAGCTCATGCGTTGAAAGTAAGCCAGAGTTGGAGCTCATGTGTGGGTTAAAAATGATTTTTATTTTTAAATATGCAGCATCATGAGTTTTGAAACTAT